TCTGTGCATGCATTGTAATGTATTTTTATTTTTTGGATTTTTATGTCTCTTCCGCTGTGTTTTTCAGTGTTTTTATGAGTGATGGTTACTCGTTGACCTAATAGGTGTATTGTGTCCAAATTTGGTGTCAATTCACTCTGTGGTTTTTGAGTTATGTTAATCCCACAAATGAACATTACATTTTATTTATATAGATTATTATTGTCTCAGGGGCGACTTGAGAAACTGCAAGTCGCTTCTGGTGTGAGAGAATTGGCCTACTGCAAGGACTTGCCTGGGATGTGTTACCAAACGGTGTGAGATTTCTCTAATGTACCCGCATGAGAAGCTGGAGCTGGAAGTGGGAGCTCGCCCAGCTACCCGGTTCGAACACTTTCGGCACAATGGTTTAACCTATTGCGCCACCCGTATTATTAGTATTAGTATTATAATATTAGTAGTAGTAGTAACATTATTATAGTATTATTAGTATTCGTAGAAGTATTAGTATTAGTATTATAGTATTATCATTATAGCATTATTACTATTGGTATATTAATTATTAATTATCATTATTATTATTAGTAGTAGTAAAGTATTATTATTATATTATTATTAGTATAATATTAGTAGTAGTACCATTATTATAGTATTATTAGTATCCGTAGTAGTATTATTAGTATTAGCATTATAGTATTATTATTATAGCATTATTACAATTGGTATATTATTATTAGTAGTAGCACTACTACTACTACTACTACTACTAATAATAATAATAATAATAATAATATACCAATAGTAATAATGCTAAAATAATAATACTATAATACTAATACTAATAATACTACTACGGATACTAATAATACTATAATAATAATAATAATACTATAATACTATAATAATACTATAATAATACTATAATATTATTATAATACTATAATAATAATACTGTAATAATATTTCTTCTACTACTAGTAGTAGTATTACTACTAGTAGAAGTATTATTATTATTACAGTTTTATTATTAAGAGTGCATTATTGAATTCAGTAATAATCAGGCCTTTCTTACCACCTGTTTCTACGCATTTTATCACATGGTTAGTATAAGAAAAAGAGGCTGCAGGAAGAGAGAATATTTTTCACGGGTTTCCTAGATTGCAACCAAAATGAAGTGAGTTCCTCTCTCACTGTGGTCACGCCGAAGTTGGTCCTCTTTCGAGTCCGAAGCCTACAATTTGGCCCCTGACCTTGAAAGCAACAGCAGATCAATATGCAATTGAGTCTTGTAGCACCTTAAGAAGGTCTTGAGCCTTCTGTGCTAAATAGTGCTGGTGTCTCACCAAACCACAACTTCCGTGCATAGCACTGAGCCATGGTAGCTAGCGAAAGTGGCACCAAACTGCTTGAATTCTACTGTGTGGGTGGGTGTATCCCATGACTCTGGAGACTAGGACTTGAATCCCCGCCTGGCCATGGATTTTGAATCCCAGAGTTAGTAGAAAACTTGAAGGCACACAACCAAAACATATTGGCTTTCCTAGACTTCACTTCATCAAGGATTGAACCTTGCCTACTGATGCAGTCCTAATATAGCTTAAATTCTACCAGCAAGAGAAGAACAGACATGGACCAACTTGGGCCCTCCAGGTGATTTGGACTTCAATTCCCACCATTCCTATCAGCCTCGGGGGCCCTTTCCTTTTCCCCCTCAGCCGCTTAAACGATGTCTAGTTTAGATTATAGATTCAATTCCAGCTTTATAGAGCCAGGACCTGTCCAGATCTTCCCTGCACATTTATTTATTTATATTTATTTACGACATTTATATGCTGCTCTTCTCACCCCAAAGGGGACTCAGAGTGGCTTACAAGATATATACAATTTATATTATTAGCATAGTACAATATCAGTATTACATATTACTATATTATACCATACCATTATATTGTAATATTATTAGTAATATTACATATAAGATAAAATATATAATTAATACATTGGTGGCAACTTTCTTGCTTGTCCACATGGACTACCACAATCATGACTAGTAATACGTGTAATAATCTATGACAAACTCTTTTAGTTCAAAATAGTGGCTTGGATTAATGTCCTTAGGTGACTGCCCATTAATTATCCCTCCATAACATATCAATACAAGATGCAAAGTTCATAATCGGCACATTTCCCTTTCTCTGCTTGCTTAAAAAAACATTTATTTGACTCATTTTTACCTTTCTGTTGACATGGGGATTTTTGGTTTTCCTACCGGTAGATAAATAGTTGGGATCAGTGTAATGTTTGAGAAATCAGGAGGGCATCTACACTGTAGAAGTAATGCTACTTGACACTGCTTTAATTGCTATGGCTCAATGTTATGGAATCCTGGGTGCTGTAGAGAAGGTTAAAGATCTACAACTCCCATAATTCCATAGCATTGAAATATGGCAACATTAGTGGTGCCAAACTGCATTAATTCCACTGTGTGGATGCACGCATGAGTCGAATTCCAGATAGGCCTTGAAAACCTACTTGGGCAAATCATGGGCCCCTTCTTTGAAAACCCTACTTTATGTGCTTTGCTCTGGATTATATGATAGTGTGGACACAGATAACCCAGTTCAAAGCAGATATTGTGGATTATCTGCCTCGATAATCTGGGTTAGATGGCTGTGTGGAAAGGCCCATGCTCTCTCTGCTTTAAACAGTGACAAACCTTGTCTGGAAGAAAGCCGTAGCTGGATTTAAGCTCACTACCTCTGAGGATGCTTGCCATAGATGCAGGAGAAACCTCAGGAGAAATGCCTCTAGAACATGGCCCTATAGCCCGAAAAAACCCCCATAAGAACCTGGATTTAAGCTGTCATTTAATGCAGTTTGAACTTCATAATGTGGCTAGTGTAGTCCCCTATAATGCAGTTCAAATAATAATAATAAATAATAATATATAATTATATATAAAGTATAATTATATATAATAAAATCCCACATTATCTGCTTTGTACTAGAATATATGGCAGTGGGGATTCAGATCATAGAATCATAGAATCATAGAATCATAGAATCGAAGAGTTGGAAGAGACCTCATGGGCCATCCAGTCCAACCCCCTGCCAAGAAGCAGGAATATCGCATTCAAATCACCCCTGACAGATGGCCATCCAGCCTCTGCTTAAAAGCTTCCAAAGAAGGAGCCTCCACCACACTCCGGGGCAGAGAGTTCCACTGCTGAACGGCTCTCACAGTCAGGAAGTTCTTCCTAATGTTCAGATGGAATCTCCTCTCTTGTAGTTTGAAGCCATTGTTCCGCGTCCTAGTCTCCAAGGAAGCAGAAAACAAGCTTGCTCCCTCCTCCCTGTGGCTTCCTCTCACATATTTATACATGGCTATCATATCTCCTCTCAGCCTTCTCTTCTTCAGGCTAAACATGCCCAGTTCCCTAAGCCGCTCCTCATAGGGCTTGTTCTCCAGACCCTTGATCACCCAGGTCAAAGAAGATAATGTGGGATTTTCTGCCTTGATGTTCTGGGTGATATGGGGATGAGTATATATAAAACTCAATTATATAATAATTATATAATTATAATTATAATTATTATCCCTCTTTATCTCTCTAAAAAAGAAACTCAAAGCGGCTCACAATAAAACTAAGGAAATCCCGCATTTTCTGCTTCGAACTGGGATACATGGCTGTGTGGACTCAGATAATCCGGTTCAAAGCAGATATTGTGGGTTATTCTGCCTTGATACTCTGGGGTATATGGTTGTGTGGAAGGGCCCTAAGATAATATAATTTAAAACAGAAAAAATACAAACATTAAAATATAAATCAACAGTAACAGTACTAAAAAGGAGTTAAACCCCTGAAAACTAATGTAAAACCGATTCATAAAGCTAAACTCACAGAAATCTCCATTATATGGCAGTGTAGATCCAACCCATGCTTGCATTTAATTCAAAAGAAACTGATTCTCGGGTAAATAGAGGACTGCAGTCCTAATTCACTCTGGGTCCTTCCACACAGCCCTATATCCCAGAACATCAAGGCAGAAAATCCCACAATATCTGCTTTGAAATGGGTTATCTGAGTCCACACTCAGATAATGTGGGAATGTTCTGCCTTGATATTCTGGGATATAGGGCTGTGTGGAAGGGCCCTACGTTTTCTAAGGGCCCTTCCACACAGCCCTATATCCCAGAATACCAAGGCAGAACATTCCCACATTATCCGAATGTGGACTCAGACAACGCAGTTCAAAGCAGATATTGTGGGATTTTCTGCCTTGGTATTCTGGGATATAGGGCTGTGTGGAAGGGCACTTAGCCCCTTCCCACACAGCTGAATAAAACCCCACATTATCTGCTTTGAATTGGGATATATGTCAGTGTGGACTCAGATAACCCAATTCAAAGCAGATATTTTGAGTTATATGGTTGTGGGGAAGGGCCTCTGTTTTACTAAGTAGGGAACAAAGTCTTGATGGGAGAAAACTCTAACCAGGAAGTGAGAGAACCAAGACAGGAGGTGAAAAAAGAGGGCAAAAACTGCATTAATCCTGTATTGCAGTAGTTCTCAACCTGATGGTCCCCAAATATTTTGGGCTTTAACTCCCAGAAATCCTAACAACTCGTAAACTGGCTGGGATTTCTGGGAGTTGTGGGCCAAAACACGTGGGGACCCACAGGTTGAGAACCAACTGACCTAGAGTATCTCCAGCAGGCAGCTATCCAGAGAAGGAGACTCCTCTACCTCTCTAGGCCAGTGTTTCTCAAACTGTGCTCCTCCAGGTGTTTTGGGCTTCAGCTTCCAGAAATTCCAGCAAGCTTACCAGCTGTTAGGAATTGTGGGAGCTGAAGTCCAAAACCCCTGAAGGAGCACAGTTTGAGAAACTGCTCTATGTAAGTGGTGATATTGCCAAACTGCTCTAGTAGATCCTGGGGTTCTGTGGACTAAATGTCAATGTACATTCCCATCAGTACATGGGGTTGTGCGACACCCCCCCCCCCAACCACCTCCTCTTACCAGTGCCAGGCCAGTGTCCCTTCCAGGCGTGGGCCTTAGTGGACTTCATCCAGGGGAAGGGCAAGGGGCCGCGGGGCTCCTCCAAGATCCCGGCGTCGGGCCCCTCTCCAAAGGCGGGCAAGGCTTCCTGGTGCGGAGGAGGAGGGGGCAGGTGGTGAGGGTGGTGGTGGAGGTGGGCGAGGCCCGGCTCTTCGGCGATGGGGGGCACCTCGTAAGGGGAAATGTCCGGCGGGCTGCCTTGCTCCAAAGACCCCAGGAGGTTGGCATAGGGCGGCGGGGGCTGCCTGCCCATGTAGAGGCAGGCGGGGGGGCTGGGGCTGTAGTCCTGGGACCTCTGGAAGGCGCAGGGCTCCTTGTAGAGCTGGCTGGCCGAGAAATACTGCTCCTCCTCGGCGTTCATGGCCGGCCAGCCGGAGGGACCCTCGCCCAAGCCCTGGCAGAACTCCGCTCCACCTGCGGATGAGGAGCATGAAGGTGCGCCAGAACTCGGGACGCCTCGCCATTGGCTGCCGGGACTCCCACGCAGGCAGGAAGCGCTTCTCCATTGGCTGGCTCCTCCCCAATCAGAAGCCAGCCCAGGCGCTTGGACTTTCTTATGTACACAGTCTGACATCCCTTGAGCTGTCAAGGCTCAACGTTTAAGGGTTCAGGGGAGTTGTGGTTATACAAGCTTCTATAGTACAATTCAAAGTGCTGGCTTTAGCCTATAAAGCCCTAAACGGTTCTGGCCCAACTTACCTGTCTGAACCCATCTTTCCTTATGAACCTGTTAGGACAATGGTTCTCAACCTGTGGGTCCCCAGATATTTTGGCCTTCAACTTCCAGAAATCCTAACAGCTGGTAAACTGGCTGGAATTTCTGGGATTTGTAGGCCAAAACACCTGGGGACCCACAGGTTGAGAACCACTGTGTTAGGACTTTAAAATTGTATTGTCGAAGGCTTTCATGGCCGGAATCACTGGGTTGTTGTAGGTTTTTTCCGGGCTATATGGCCATGTTCTAGAGGCATTCTCTCCTGACGTTTCGCCTGCATCTATGGAAAGCATCCTCAGAGGTGAGGACAAACTATCTACAGACCATCACTCTCAACAAAAGATTTTCCCCAGGCACTTCCAAGCCATTGAATGCTAATCAAGGTGATCAGCTGAAACATTCACACCTAGCCCCAGCAGACAAAAGTCCTTTGTCTCACCCTGGTCATTCCACAGATATATAAACCCATTTTTCCTACTTCCAACAGACCTCACTACCTCTGAGGATGCTTGCCATAGATGCAGGCGAAACGTCAGGAGAAAATCACACGTGGGTCACAAACACCTTTGGTGGGGATGAGAGACAAGGCTTTCTCTGTGGTGGCCCCTCGGCTATAGACTATGCTGTGGTTCCAAATGCCAGTTTTTTTACTCTTTTCTGAAAGATCAGGAGGGAGGGGGCTGATCTAATATCCCTAGGTAGGGAGTTCCACACCAGAGGGGCCACCACAGAGAAGGCCCTGTCTCTCCTCCCGCCAAAACGTGCTTGTGAAGTAGGTGGGATCGAAAGAAGGGCCTCCTCAGACAGTCTCAAGCTCCTGGAAGGTTCATAGTGGGAGATGCGTTTGAATAGATAAGCCCTGATTAAATATTTGAAATGATGCCATGTGGAGGAGGGAGGAAAGTATTTTTTCCTGCTGCTCATGGAGCAATGGATTCCAACTGCAGGAAAGGAGATGCCATCTAAACATTAGAAAAACCATCTTTATGATAAGAACTGTTGAGCAGTGGAATACACTACTGTTGATCATTTCCACTACCTTGGCAGCCATCTCTCCACAAAAGTCAACACTGACACTGAAATTCAGCACCGCCTGAGCTCTGCGAGTGCAGCTTTTTCCCTCAATGAAGCAGAGAGTGTTTGAGGACCTGGACATCCGTAGGGATATCAAGGTGCTTGTTTATAAAGCTATTGTCCTTCCAACCCTTCTATATGCCTATAAGACGTGGACTGTCTACAGACGTCACATGCAACTCCTAGAACATTCCATCAGCGGTGCCTCTGAAAAATCCTGCAAATCTCTTGGGAAGACAAGCAAACAAATGTCAGTGTGCTGGAAGAAGCAAAGACCACCAGCATTGAAGTGATGGTCCTCCGCCATCAACTCTGGCTGGTTGTCCGGATGCTCGACCACTGTCTCCCAAAACAGTTGCTCTACTCCAAACTCAAGAACGAAAACGTAATGTTGGTGGCCAGGGAAAGAGATTTAAAGATGGACTCAAAGCCAACCTTAAAAACTCTGGCACAGACACTGAGAACTGGGAAGCCCTGGCCCTTTGAGCGCTCCATCTGGAGGTCCATCTGGAGGTCAGCTGTGACCAGCAGTGCTGTAGAATTTGAAGAGGCACGAATGGAGGACGTTAAGCCAACCCTGACCGAGACCGCCTTCCACCTCGAAACTAATGCCCTCACTGTGGGAGAAGATGCAGATCAAGAATAGTGCTCCACAGTCACCTACAGACCCACCAGTACACTGATCTTGGAAGACTATCCTACTCGAACAAGGAAGGATCGCCTAAGTAAGTAGGCTACTGTTGGGAGTAAAGCAATCTAGCGCACATTTCTGAAGACACTCGGAAAGTGAGGGAGTCTCATTCTTTCGAGGCTTTTAAGTGGAAGCTGGATGGCCATCTGTCGGGAGTGCTTTGATTGGGTGTTCCTGCATGGCAGAAGGGGTTGGGTTACATGACCTTGGTGTGTATTTCCACTTTACGATTCTAGGAAAGTATTAAACGGCTAGGGAAATGTATTTCTGTAGTAGAGTTCCCAGTACCCAGAGGATTGTGGGAGCTGTAGTCCAAAGCAGCGACCTCTCCAAGCTCTCTGTGTATTTAACAGCGTGGTCTATCAAGGCTTGTAGGAAACGCTTTCCCTTCTGTTTGCCCGCGGAGCCTCCTTGCCGCAAGAGCGACGGAGGGGAGAGGCGATAGATAAGCCGGCAATGGCCTTTCCTAATCTCTCTGGCTGATAGAATTGACTCGGGTCGACAGGTTTCCCAGGCTGGAGAGAGGTCGAAAATGCAAGGATCCTGGACACTTGTTGATTGAGCTTAAACAAACGCAGGGAAGCAGAGCTTCGCCACCTGCCCAGTTCCGGAGACTAGGAGCTCCTTCCCCCACTCACTTGGACTGCATCTAAATGAAGTTTGACACCACTTTAACTAACATGGCTCAATGCTATGGAATCCTGGGAGTTGTAGTTTTACAAAGTCTTTCTCTGCCAAAGAGTGCTGGCTCCTTACCAAACCACAACCCCAACTTACCTGTCCGAAGGTATCTCCCCTTATGAACCTTCCAGATGTATCCTCCAGGACTTTAAGATTGTCTGGGGAGGCCCTGTTATGGATCCCGCTGTCTGGCAGGGACTAGAAACAGGGCCTTCTCATGGGTGGCCCCCTGGCTAGGGAATGCCCAACGGCCCCTTCCCTTTTAACATTCCGAAAAAAGTTGTTTGCAGATGCAATGTAACAAACATAGGAAAATGGAATGACTGCAAACTGTTTTAACAAGGAGATTCTAATCTATATATATAAATTTGTTAGGGGCATCCAACGAGGAAACAAAACTCAAAAACCCCCCAACGAAACTTAACCAAAATTCCCATGCCCATAACACAACCCACAAGGTCCAAACATATCTACTCAAAATGAAAAACAACACAACAACACACTCACAAAACGGCAAAACAACAAAACTCAAAACCCCCAACGAAACTTAACCAAAATTCCCATGCCCATAACACAACCCACAAGGTACAAACATATCTACTCAAAATGAAAAACAACACAACAACACACTCACAAAACGGCAAAACAAAACTCAAAAATCCCCCAACGAAACTTAACCAAAATTCCCATGCCCATAACACAACCCACAAGGTACAAACATATCTACTCAAAATGAAAAACAACACAACAACACACTCACAAAACGGCAAAACAACAAAACTCAAAAATCCCCCAACGAAACTTAACCAAAATTCCCATGCCCATAACACAACCCACAAGGTACAAACATATCTACTCAAAATGAAAAACAACACAACAACACACTCACAAAACGGCAAAACAACAAAACTCAAAAAACCCCCAACGAAACTTAACCAAAATTCCCATGCCCATAACACAACCCACAAGGTACAAACATATCTACTCAAAATGAAAAACAACACAACAACACACTCACAAAACGGCAAAAGGATAAAACTCTAAAAAAACCAACGAAACTTAACCAAAATTCCCATGCTCATAACACAACCCACAAGGTACAAACATATTACTCAAAATGAAAAACAACACAACAACACACTCAAAACGGCAAAAAAACAAAACTCAAAAACCCCAACGAAACTTAACCAAAATTCCCATGCCCATAACACAACCCACAAGGTACAAACGTATCTACTCAAAATGAAAAACAACACAACAACACACTCACAAAACGGCAAAACAACTGAGCATGCGCATTGGCGCCCAGCCGCAAGTTCCCTGGCGCGCGCACATGCCCTTCCGGCCAACGTTCCCTCTGCGGAAACCATGCCCACTCCAAGCCCCGCCGCGCCGCTTCCCGCACACACACACACCCCTGCCGCACATACACACACAACCCCACACTCCATCACTCCCCCCGCCGCCGCACACACACACGCAACCCCACTCCCCCCGCCGCCGCACACACACACACAACCCCACACTCCATCACTTCCCCCGCTGCCGCACGCACACACACAACCCCACTCCCCCCGCCGCCGCACACACACACGCAACCCCACGCTCCATCACTCCCCCCGCGCACACACGCAACCCCACTCCCCCCCGCCGCCACACACACACACACAACCCCACGCTCCATCACTCCCCCACCCCCCCACGCCGCACACACACGCAACCCATGCTCCATCCCTCCCCCCGCCGCCACACACACACACACAACCCCACGCTCCATCACTCCCCGCCCCAATCTTACCTCCTTTTACTTCACGCCACCTCCAAACCCCACCCCGCCCCTTCCCGCCCTGTCAAAATCCAGGAAAGAGGAAGGAAGGAAAGAAGGAAGAAAGAGAAAGGGAGGTAAAGAAAAAGGGGGAAGGAAGGAAAGTTAGAGAAAGAAGGAAGAAGAAAAGGAAAGAAAAGGAAAGATGGAAGGAAAGAAAAGAGAGACAGCAGAAAAGAAAGAAAAAGGGGGAAGGAAGGAAAGAGATAGAGAAAGAAGAGGAGAAGGAAAGATGGGAGGGAAGAAAGGAAGGAAGGAGGGAAAGAAGGAGAGAAAGAGGGAAGATTGGCCACAGCAACACGTGGCGGGTAAAGGTTGTTATTTTATTATTATTATTATTATTATTATTATTATTATTATTATGCTATTGTTCCC